AGTTGGAGTCTCACTCTTGCTGCCCAGGCTGGAGTGCAGTGGCATGTTCACAGTCACCACAGCCTCAACCTGCTGGGCTCAGGCAATCCTTCCGCCTCAGCCTTACAAGTAGCCGGAACTACAGGCGTGCGCTACCACGCCCGGCTAATTTTTTTTTTAATTTATTGTAGAAATGAGGTCTTGCCAAGTTACCCAGGCTAGTCTCAAACCCACAGGCTCAGGCAATCCACTTGCCTCAGCCTCCCAAAGTGCTGGGATGACAAGTTGAACCACCAAACCCAGCCAATTATTTATTTATTTATTGTAGAGATGATGTCTCGCCAAGTTGCCCAGGCTGGTCTCGAACCCACGGACCCAGGCAATCTGCTCTCCATGGCCTCCCAAAGTGCTGGGATTACAGGCTGAGTGACCACACCCGGCGGGCAGAGGGACTTTTCTAAAAGCAGCACTTGCCAAATTCCACCGTGATGGCCATGCAGACACCCACTTGAAACACCCACTCCAGCCCCTCTGTAGCCGTAACTGCCTGAGAGACCACCAGGGGTTTCCCTTCTCCCTCTCATTTCTGCAAGAGGCTTGCCAAAGAAGTCTTCACACTCAGGTTGCACCGGGAAGGACCTAGGCAGGACAAGTGGATGGGGAGTAATCACATGCGCCCTGTGATACTAACCAAGCACCGGCTGTGTGCCAAGTCTCGTGCTGGTCCTCAGCCCAACCTCACCAGAAGCTTCCCCGAGCCAGGACATGAAGGGCCATGCCTGGACAATCAGCCAATTCTGAGGCCTCTGCCCCATCCTGTCTCTCACTGCCTCTAGTTCATCTGTTGAAATCTAACAGTGTCTCCTCTGGGCATGTTCTGCCAAAGAGGCCTGGATTCTGGGCCTGGCTCTCTCACTAATGTGCTGTGTGGCTCTGGGCAAGCTCCGTCCTCACTCTGGGCCTTGTTCCTTTTGCGGTCAAGGACTCTAATGTCCATCCGTGTGAGCTCAGGCCTTGCCCGCAAAGAGGTGGTCATCCATCAGCAGTCCTGTGTCTACAAATGAGAAGTTGAAGTCACCTATAATCCCAGCATGTTGGGAGGCAGAGGCGAGAGGTTTGCCTGAGCAACATGGTGAGACCTCGTCTCTACAATAAATCAAAAATTAGCCGGGCGTGGTGGTGCAGGCCTGTGGATCCAGCTACTTGGAAGGCAGAGGAGGAAGGATCGCCTGAGCCCACCAGGTCGAGGCTGTGGTGGCCGGGAGCATGCCACTGGACTCCAGCCTGGGCAATAGAGTGAGACTCCAGCTCAAAAAAAAAAAAAGAGAGAAGTCACACCTTAAAGACTGCAAGATGGGCCGGGCATGGTGGCTCATGCCTGGTCATCCCAGCATTTAAGGAGGCTGAAGTGAGAGGATTGCTTGGGCCTAGCAGTTAGGGACCAACCTGGGCAACATAGCAAGACCTCATCTCAGCTAAAATCAAAAACCAAGCTGGGCATAGTGGCACGCACATGTAGTCCCAGCTACTCAGGAGGATGAGGCGGAAGGATCGCCTAAGCCCAGGAGTTCAAGGCTGCGGTGAGCCATGATCAGGCCACTGCACTCCAGCCTGAGTGACAGCGTGAGATTCTAACTTTAAAAAAAAAAAAAAAGGCCGGGTTTGGTTGCTCCCACGCCTTTGGGAGGCTGAGGGGGGGG